GAACTCAACTGAGCTTTATGGCCCATTATGAGAATCTGTCAGGTACACAACACACCTTTTAGACTTTAATACTTTTACCCTCAGCTGCACTGTTTTTGAGGGCCCCCCTCTAATATTACCCACTCTGCATCACATAGCTCAGCTCCTACTGAATCCACCAGCATATGTGCATGCCAACTCCTCCCACCATTCCAACCTTACTCCCCCCTAAGAAGAACGGAGTCATTGTGGTTTCCATGGCATTTCCCAGCACTTCCCTGAAGACTTGCTGCTTAATTCTGATGTGGGCGCTTATGCTACAGTCATTAATTACTGCATTAAGTCAAGTCACAAAACTAATGAGGATTTGGACACAGAGTTAGAAAATGATAATGTATTTTTTTCCTGGATTATAAGATATAAAGATAAACATGGTCAAAATATTCAGAGATATGAAATCACAGCTTTTCATAGCTAACTTACAGCAGAAAATACAGGCTTCTGTGTCTCATCAAAATTGGGAGTAAGATAATCAAAACATCACCATTGGTAACATTTAGGCAGGCCTCACTTCACTGTGCATTTTATTTTCAGCTCTGACATCTAAATAAAGAATGTTCTTTTTTTCCTTATGGCATAAAAATCATTCTATAACTAAAACTAGAACCTTTTGAAGTTCTTGCATCAGACAGTAGGATGAGTCAAGAATGAGAGGCCACATGGGAAAAGTTGGCCTTTATGTGTGTGGATAGAGTTAGTCTTAGGATTATTTGGAGAGCATGGTTGGGTGTCTGTCTATACTCCACTTACTCTCAGTGGTACCTGTAAATCTTTCATCAGATGGAGAAGGTATGTCAGTCCCCATGGGTTTTGTATTACAACTAAGGGACTCCTGGTAGGGTACAAGACTGAATCATCAACACTTGGAATCATGAGCTGAATCAAAAGGATTAACAAGAAAATTACCTACAATGCTATAAGCAATAGTTTCAGGTCCAATAAAGGTTGATAATGAGGTAAGCAAATGGCTTGTTGATATGGGGTGCTTTTGTGGAGGATCAATTCCATTATTTATAGGTTGGGGAACCCCCTAAAATTGCAAGTTAGCATGTGGCCCCTGGGCACCTAGTCAAGTCAAATAAGACACTGAAAACAAATAATATTTCCTCGACAACTTCACCTTAGGCATAACCATTCTGGAGGCATACAACAAATCTAGAAGCAAAGCTATTAACAGTTGGAAGGCATAGCCACTTTAGTAATGACAGAGGACTTTTCCCCTTAAACAACAACAAAAAAAGAGCTTAAATGCCCCAATGCACAAATATGCGTACAGTTTTAGGGAATTTCAAGGATCTATGGAGTTTTCCCCTTGCATCAGTTTAAGAACTCCTAATTTGTAGGTTTATACTCAAAGTGTGTGTCCTTCCCATTCTTTAAGTTTTGAAATTCTGAGGAACTATCTTGGTCAGTATACTGTTTGTCTTAGAGTCTGAAACAGAAAACACAATCATTAAATTTGAAGAAGATACCAAAAGCCCTAGTGTTTATGACAGTACAACTTTTGAGTGGGCATATATCATGTATTATACTCTTTTAATGCTCATAACTTAATTCTCTCTTTTTCTAAGCTGAGGATTCAGAGAGAGATCCTATTTCTCTAAATCATAGCTAGTGTTGAGGTCAGATTCTCAAGCTTGAGAGTGTTTGACTTTAAAACCCATGTCTATGATAATATTAGAACTAATCAGGATAGCATTCAGCTTTCAAAGGTTTAAACTCAAGTTTAAGGCCAAATAAGCTGTGTATAGTTGATATATCTTAAAGGTGCTAAAACAACTTTGCTGAAGTTCCATTAGGAAGGAATTCCCCTGCACACTCAGGTTCAGAGTAGGCGTCTCAAATGGTGCAACAAAGTGAATATTACCACATGAATATCTATCAAGGTAGAACATACCATAAGATTAAGTCAGCAACATAGTTTTGGTGACTAAATATGTCTACTAATGCTGATGGGTCAAAAAATTTTGAAAGCAAAAATGTTTAGGTAATTCATTAATCCTTCTGAAAATGGTGGCCATTGGTTTGTCATGATAACAGATGGAGGGAAAAGTGATGGATTTAAGATTCCACACATGAGATTTGTGTATATAAAGAAGACTTTCTTCACAATATGACGTCCTCACTATTCTTTACAGATATCAAACTTACTATTGGAAATAAGTCTCATATCAGCTCTTTACAGCTTAGTATCAATTTAGGCCAAAGTGTTCCCTCTCTCGGGGTATTTGCATTGTTAACCTGAGTGTGCAGGGAAATTCCTTCCTAATGGAACTTCAGCAAGATCTTTTTAGCACCTTTAAGATATCAACTATACACAGCCCATTTTGCCTTAAACTTGAGTTTTAATCCTTTGAAAGTTCAGCTGGGCATATATTAATACTAATTACTCCTTGGCCTCTAGGTAAATTGAGTTCAATGACTCAAATACAAATGTTAGTTCTGATCCCAAAATTTTAGCAATATTTGGATCACACAACTTATTTATGAAGTTAGAACTACTTTTCTTTTCCTGGTTCCCTATTCATTCCTATTACTTAATTTATCATGTGCCCTGTTAAATTGGAGTACTTCCTGGGCAAGGACTCTATCTTACTTAGCTCTGGATTTCTAAACCCAGCATAGTGTCTGGCTCACTGAAAACCTTTCTGGGAAAATAATTAGATTCCTACAGTTCAAATTTGCCAAGAGTTTGTATTTCTTTAAAGTGACATCTCCGGTTCTCCTTCAACAAGGATTTTTCCTCAGGTCAGTGTATACCCACAATGGAGGAAAAGTCTAAGCCATCCTGCCATAGGACAAACCCCACCCAATCCAAGCAATTTTTAGGACATTTTAGAGCCTGTAATTTACTACACTTAGGAATCAGAGATAACAAGAATTGCCTATGGATCTAAGTCTGGGGAACATTTTATCTTTTACTGTTCTAGAATGACATGCCTTCATAGTAAAAAAGGAAAACAACAACAGTTGTTTTATTTCAACAGTGCACAACACCAGATATTTACTAAAGAAAACACCACCCAAGGCCCAGAGGATTAGCTGAAGCAGCTGATACCCTGTGCTGCTTTTTATAACTCTCCTTTCCAGCACCATGCTCTACATATGTCCTGTTTCATCAGGTCACATCAACTTAGGTCATGCCCACTATTGCATCTTACACCAAACAAATGTATCACCATGCAGAATATTCTTTCCTTGAAAATTAAGTGGACATTGGGGAAGTTTCCTGGTTCTTGTACTAGAACTTGGCTTTGCTACATTTTGTAAGCAAGCAGCCCCTTTCATTCCACAAGACACGGGCTATTGGCTACTAGAAAGCTGTGAAAATATTTGGTATAAGAATAGAATATGCAATAGAGAACCAAATTACATATATAGTTGTTGAGTGAGATTCTGATGATGTTAAGTCTGTAAACTTATTGAAATTATTTGCAAGAATCCTACTTGTCTACTTTTTAGGGGGGGAGTGGGCAATGAAATTGGAGAGAAGAGAATATTCTATACAACACCTTTAGATGCCAATAGTTGTTCATTGTACCAAAATATCTCTCTCTTATATAGTGCATTGTCTTGGCCCTTTGGAAGATGTTTTTTAAAAGGCAAAATCCAAGTATCTCAAAAATCTTACTGTTTAAAAAGAATGTTGATTTTAAATACAGATAGCCATAAGTTATTTATGGAACATGTAATCTATGTCAGATATTATAACAAGTACATTTTAAATTTAGGAGTTGGCAAACTATAGCCGAAGGACCAAATCCAGTCCACCACCTGTTCTTGTAAATAAAAGTTTACTGAAACAAACTACATCCAATTGTTTGTATATTGTCTTCAGCTGCTTTTGAACAAAATGCCAGAGGTGAGTAGTTGTGACAGAAGTAATTGAGACTGTAAAATTTCAAATACTTAAATCTGTCACTTTAAAGAAAATATTTGTTGTCTACAGTGTCTTTTATTCTCACAAATATACTCAGAGATAAATATGGTGTTTCCCATTTTATGATTAAGGTAACTAAGCATTATAGGTCATGTAGCTAGTAAGTGCCAAAGCTTGGGTTTGAGTCTAGATTTATCTGATTTAAAAATTTCATGTTCTTATGCTATACTTATTGAATGTGCAGCAATAACCAAAATATAAAGTAGGAAGAAATAAAAGCCTTATACAGAGCCACAGAGAAATTGCTATTAGAATTCAGAAAAGGAAGATATTATTTTGAGCCTGGGATGATAAAGATTCTAGAGAAGATCATATTTTAATATAAAATTTAAAAATGAATCTCAAGAATCTTATGTCCCAAGTCTAAGCCCAAGAAAAGTTAAGAGATCAAGATCATATGTTTAAGTAGGAGCAGAGATTGGAATAAAGTCTCCACTTACCAGACCAAAGTATGCTGTTAAACATGCTGAGCCATTGAAGTTTTTTGTGTGTGGTTAAATGACCGGATTATTGAAATGAAAATTCATACATTATGCTCAATAGCAATTAAACTGAAGGAGTATTTATTTATTTATTTATTGGTACTGGGGATTGAATGCAGGGGCACTCTACTGAGTCCTCTTTTTAGTTATTTTTAAATTTTGAGACAGAGTCTCAATAATTTGCTGAGGGTCTTACTATGTTGCAAAACTTTGCCACAGCCTCCTGAGTCACTGGGATTACAAGCATGTGTCACCTTGCCTGAATGTGATTCCTTTATCAAGGTCTCCAAAAGCACATTTGTTCAGGTATTTACACAATACCATCACCTACCCACAAAACTACAAAATACATTTGTGTTGTGGAGAATCACACTTGTGAGATTATAGGAATGTCTTTTACTCTCCACCAACTTTAAGATTCAAATGATAAACAAAAGAACACAAATTTGAAGCCATATTCATCCTACCCTGAAGAATCAGGCACCTCTAAGCCAGAGGAGAAATAGAGAAGTGAACATGTGTAACCAATGGAGGCTTACCTGATACTGTAGAGTACTTTGCCATTTTTTGAAATCCGCAGCAATTTGTTGTCAGTGGTGACATCATGGAAGTTGGCACCCTTCTCATTGGCAAAGAACAAATCTGGTTTCCAAATGGAGTCTAGCATGGATGGGTCCAAGTCCAGGGAATCATCCGGGTACTCACTGTATGCCAGCCGTGAATCATTCCACTGTTGTCTCAGAAAAATATTCACTCGGTAGTCCTACAGAAATGTCATGCACAAGAGCTCCTTATTGTCTGTCCTGGCATAAGAAGTCTATTTAAATTTCCCTCTCATCATCTCTCTGATTTGATAGAGTGTTTGTTGCTGAATAAAGCAGGCTGAGTATATCTTGGTCAAAATAAACCATTCAGTTCTATTAGGATTGGAGCCAGAGGGGAGGAAGAAGGAAGAGGCAGTCAAACCATAACACAAATGGAACAGGTTGGCTTGGCTGAATTTTTATGCTTAAACTATTATTTCTGGTGTGAAATAATACTAACTCAAGTTGATTTTGCTGTAGAAGAGGGTAACAAGTTCAGAAGTCTGGGATGGCATATTTTAAATAAAACTGATTCATTTTTGCAAATCAGAAATGAGACCATATCTAGTCTCTTTATGCTTGATGTTCTGGGCAGAAGAAAAGCCATTGTGTAATTTTGGAGGGAAAAACTTGAAAAACTGTGAGATGATGGCTTAATATTTTAAAAGATCATCAACATACACATTAAGTTGCTTCATGATGACAAAATAATTCTCTCAGCTACTTTCAAAATTCTTAATTATTTTATCATTTTCTCTGAATGTATACATGTAGCCAGCTTACTGCTTCATCCAGAGATCTTTTTTATTTTTTCCCAATTTGAACACCTTCTTGACAAAGGTGTTCTTCCTTGTGGGAACCTCAGGTATACCCCTGGCATTCTCACTTGATCTGGAAACTTCCTTCTATACCAATGAATTAGCTTGGGGTAGTGATTGCTTTCCTGAGAAACTCTACTAAAAGTTCTTTAGGTTCATGGAAAACTGCTTCATTTGATAATCTACACCCTGTTTGGGGTTTCATCAGTATTCGCTAGTCAAGCAGGACTATAATTTCAGAGCTAATAGTTTTTCATTCTTACCATTTGTGGTTATTTAAGGTGATTTATTACCACTAGCTTCATTTCCACATATTTGGCATGTGGATTTTTAGTCATTGTTTATCTTACTTTAATGATGAATAACTTGTCCTGGTTTGCCTGAGAACTTTCCAGTTTGGGCCCTGAAAATCTCTTGCCCAGAGCACTCCCTCAGTCCCAAACCATTCCCAAGGGGTGTTGGTCACTATACTAAGTATCATGGAGACTACCTGGGGTAGCCAGTTTTGATTAATTCCCTCAGAGCCAAAAGAAAAATTAGTTTTAAAGATCAGTATATATGGAAAAAGCTTCAATTCAGTTATTTCTACCTATTCACTAAACTACCCAAATTCCAGTGAGTTTTTTTTTTTTTTTTCAAATGCAATCTCCTGTTGACAGGCTCACAAAGCACTTTAGAAGTGGCAGTTCTTGGGAAAGGTGCACAATGTGGGCATAAAAAAGCAAATAATCAAATAGTTAATAACCACTGAATATCAGTGATGAAAAATATGTCTCATTTTGAAAGGCTGTGTTATTAAAAGAAAAAACCTTGAGGTCCTCCATTGTATAAAACGAGGACATTCAGACTTGGAAAGTGTTAGTAGGTGCCCTTTATTTGGGATTTTGCCAGCCAGAACAGTAAATTCTGAAACCCAAGCAGGTGCTGTTGTGGGCCTCACTAGATTTGCATCCCAATCTGATTGTTTACTAGCTCCCCCACTGAGTAGACCATGGGAATGACAGAATTTCTAGAATTGTCCCAAGACCCCAGGAAGTTGTGACTGAAAAGAGATTAATAACAGGACAGTGTCTGCTTGGGAATGGAGTGACTGGAAACTTTGTAGTTTTGTGTGAGTAGCGAGTAAAAACATGTGATTCGTGAAAATAAAAGAAGTGGCTATTAAAAATGTAAACTAATTTATATGTAAGTATACACTAGATACATCAGCTGTGAGATTTTCTTAAGTTTTCCTGAGGAGGAAAATGCAGTTTCCCTAGTATTTAACACCCATTCCCTTTTATTTTTCTAATGTAAAAACAAGCAAAATTGTGTAGGAGGAGTACGTATACTTGTTTCAACAGAAAATAGAGAAAAAAATATCCCCTTCCTTAGACAATTCATAAGGTACTGTAAATATGGGAAGTAATGGTAACTGAATATAACAGAGGTGAGTATATTAAATATCTTAAACTACTGGCAGGCAAGAAAACCCCACCTCCCATCCAGGAAGTAGTCCAAGGATGGAAGATGCTATGAGAAGCTAGACAGAGAGCAGAGCACTGGGCAGTAAAATCATCAAAGAGAACCTCCTTGTAATTCTCCTAAGTCTAGGAAAGTCTAGAAATTATATTAGTGACATGCATCCTGAAAACAGTGACCTTCAAGAAAATATCTCAATCAATATTTTCACAGCTAATATACATCTTTTTAGAAAGTCTTCTCAATGAATGTTCTCCAGTGTTTCCTGATTTTGTTTTGAATTTTATATATAGAAAATGATGAAACAGTTCCTCCCAATATGAGAACTTTAAAAAGAGCAGTGAGTCTATTACATCACAGTAAAATCATTAAATGTCTAAAGGTTAATTTAAAATAAATTATTCCATTATTTGTAAGCAAGGAGAAGTATAAAACGAAGAAGAGAAAATATATTCTATGCCACACTTACAGTGATTATATGAAATAAGACATTTGCCAAACTGTTTGAATGTAAATATCCATTCCTTTCAGTGTAGGTAATTAAAATTTATCCATAATTATGTTTATGATATACATTATTCTAAAATAAATAGCAATGCTTAAATATCTTTAAAAATATAAAAAGACACCCAAAGATATACAGAAGTAGATAATCAAAGAAAAGATTTTCTGGAGCTGTGCCTATGTAATTCTTCCAATTCACTGTCATTTTCAATATAGGGAAAAATTTGACATCTGATATTTATCTATGCATCACTTCTGTTTATTTATGGATAGGTTTATTCCCTTGTGATATTCCAAACCACAAGAGAATACTTATATTGTTCTGTAGTCTTTCTTTGCCTTTATTTTTTGCTTTAAGGTTTAACAAAATATTAAAGTAGAAGTAAATATTGAGAAGCATGTTTAAATGCTGACAGAACTTTTTTTTGCACTGCCTTCTCTCTCCAGGGACAGATTCTACTTCAAATAAATGACATGTTTTCTTGTACTAAAATTTGTTTCCCTATGATTGACTATCTGGGTACCAGATTAGGTAATGGAAACATTCAAATAATATTCTTTTTTATTTATTCAAAAGCTTTGTGTAAGCCACATCATCTTTATTCTTAACATAGGTAATGTAAGTACCTACATTCTATATTATTATTTAGTGTCAAATTTAAAATTTCTCAGGTTTTTCTCTTTCAGTTGCCTTCTAATGCTATGTCTACTCTGTAAAGATTATTTCTTTAAATTGAATTATTTTGACCCAATTTAATTTAGTATTTTCATTTATACATTGATATTACAACACTCTCTCATATATACTCTTATTAAACCTTACCTCTCTAATTATATTATAAAGGTATCAAATATGAGGATTTGGTGGGGTGTGCTGGGGATGGAACCTATGAGTGCTTAACCACTGAGCCACATCCCCAGTTTTTTTTTTATTTTTTATTTTGAGACAGGGTCTTGCTGAGTTGCTGAGGCTGGCTCTGAACTTGCAATCTTCTTGCCTCAGAGGCCCCAGCTGCTGGTATTGTAGGCATGCCCCACATACCCAGCAAGGATATTCTTTTTTGACTTGCCACTGTGCTTTTGTGGCACTTCAGTTTTATCTCTGCCTACACTGCAGTAAAATTTTCATAATCTTAAGACACTGTTAGCTTTAATATGAGAAGTTAAGTTTAAAATTATGGGGGATGTTTCTTTATGATTAATTTGGGATCAAGGCCATCTCATATATCAAATTAACAAAATGCCATGTTTGTGGTAGTTTTTTGATTCTTCCTTAAGACATCAGGAAAAAGAAATATACCCATATGTTTTTTCCTTATCAGTTAGTATCTTCTTATGGTTTGCTTATGCAGCTGTAGAATGAAAGGAAACAGTGTTGTTTCAGTGGCTATAATAGAACACATATTCTAAGAGGAGGCTGTCTACTTTCTTATCTGAGTTCCTCAGGAATGTGATTTCAGATCAGAGGTAAAGTAACTCTTCACCCTGCAGCAGTAACCAGCAGGGAATGGGAATTTACCCTTAGGGCCAGAGTTCAGGGGAGCCAGAATTATATTCTAGAGATGTTCTCTTAGGAGACACATTTGTATACTTTTGTCTCTCTCTGGAAATGTTCTCTGAGGGGACATATTTATACACTTTCAGCTTTCTCTTCTATCTGGTAAATAAGTAGAGAGGATCTGCTGCTGTGTCCTGGGTAGTGTTCCCACATCCAAAATCACTCACTGCCTACTCACTTCCCTCCAAGAAGTCATTTGGAAGCTGAGAAGAGAGCATTTCATCTCTATTTTCTGATGACCTAGCCTTGGAAGAGCTGCTGCATATAGATCGTAGTAAACACCCTTGACCTTTACTGACATAACTGATACTCTCAAACTATGTTCTCACATCAGGAAACAGGGGATTGCGAATCTATTCCCTGTTCTGTAAATTCAGTTGTTATCACACAGAAAGCAAAGAAAATGGTAAACTGACACTCCAAAAAGAATATCACTTGTCTCATTATATATCCCTTAATAGTCTTCTAAGTTTTGGGGACCATACATAATTTGTTCCACTGAATAATCTAAGCATAGGGTAGGGTCAGTTAACAATGACTACCAACAGATTTCTGTGTCTCTTAACAAATATGTGTATTTTTAAATATTGTATATCATTTTGATGATCCATAAAATATTTCTTAGAGTAATACAAATGTGTTGTGTTGTAATTACACATCTCCAACACTCATACAGCAAAGAAATGAGAATTTTTACTGGCTGTGTTAGTAAGCCAATACTTTTTGGGCAGGCAGTATCAATAAATTAGTGGTATTTCATTAACCATAAGAGGGACAGATTATATAGCCCAAAAAGAAAAAAAACTACAATGAGTTCTTGAAGCAGATAATCATTGGCTGTCCTTTAGAAATAAACATCCCATACTAAATCCTTCAATAACACTCTTTGGGGTGAAAGTGAGGTGTGGGGAAAGAGGAAATTCAACATGTTTAGAAACTTGAAATTCTGAAGCATTCTTGAAAAAAAAATCATTACAGAAGATGTAGAGAAAGCAAAACTATTATACCCCCAAAATAGCACCAATCAATGACTTTATCACTGCATAAAAGCTAAAGTTTCTGACTCCACAGTCGTTCAGGAAAGAATCTAATTCTGCTTAATTTTTTGACCATATTTTCCAAGTAAAATTCTGTTTAATATCAGTAAATTTATGGATTGTAGAATCTTAGTGTGTTATAAAGGAAGCTCGGCTGTGGTAACACTCTGTGAGGGTGCAATGGACTATGTATGTCCTCTCAAAATTCATTGTTGAAATCCTAACCTCCAATGTTATAGTATTAGGAGGTAGAAATTTGGGAAGTAATTTTGTCATGAGGGTAGACCCTCATGATTGGAATTAATGTCCCCTTAAGAGGGACCCCAGAAAATGTTCTTTCCACCATAAAAGGATATAAGGAGAAATCAGCTGTCTTTAACCTTGAGCAATCCCTACCCAGAACCTAACTATAGTGGCGCCCTGATCTCAGACTTCCAACTTCCAAAACTGAGAAACTAATTTGTGTTGTTTGAAAACAACCCAATCTATAATACTTTGTTACAGCAGCCAGACCTGATTAAGATAGGGTGCATCAGGTGGCTTCCCAGGGAGGGATTTACCTATCTTGGAAAACAAGACCCTTCGCTAGTAGATCAATTGTCACATTCTTGTGTGCATCTGAATAATGACTATTTAAATATTGATGCCTTAAATTTGGGGTTGGAATTTGGCCCCAGACTATTTTTATAAATAAAGTTTAATGGAGCACAGCCATATGCATTTGCTTACTATTGTTTTTTTCTTAATTTTTTATTGGCTCTTTTTTGTTTATGGCTCTTTTCATATGAAAAGGAAGGATTGAGTAGTTATGACACAGACTATCTTGTTTTCAAAGTCTTAAGTATTTACTGTCTGGCCTTTTACACAAAAAGTTTGCCAATCTCTACTGTAGGTGGTATGAGAATTTCTTCTTTGCCATAAGCGTGATAGAGTTTCAAAAAAAAAAAAAACCACATGTTTTTGTAGTTTAACACCAAAGCCATAATTGAAGAAAATAAAATATATTTTCAAAGCCAAATGAAGCTTTTCATTACATCAAAAGCTAAGAAGTAAAATAAAAGAAGCACAATACACATTACTTTTCTAAACATGCAATTCAATCTATCTTATACAGCAGAATAAATAGGCTGTTGATGTTATCCGTGAGCAACAGTTTCCAAGGGTTTTGGTAGGAAATATGACAAAGGACACCTATTAAGTGTCCAGGAAGCACCTAAGCAGCCCATTTATGAACACCTTCACTAGCTCTTAAAGACACAGGAAAATAGGGTATCAATGACTTCCATTTTCATCTCTTTAAATGTTTAGCTTATTTTTGCATTAATGAACATCAAAAGGTGCACAATTACATTTTTGATTGAGAGTAGGATGCAATGAGGAGATTTAATCAAAGCAACTTAGGAGTCTTAATTAATGCAATCAGCATTAGGCCGTGCAAATATCGTCATTGAATGCCATCGTGTAAAGTTGGTGACAGTGATTTGGGCTACTAGAAACTTTGCCCCTCTCTTATAAGAATAAAAACAAGAAGGGAGAGACAGAAACTGAATGCCAAGACCAGAATTGGATTATGGTTTCTATGTTTAGCATTTCTTGTGAGTCATTTAATAACCCTATCAAAACTGTCTTGTTTAGGTAAAATTCTTAATGTACTATATAGCCTGTCAATGTCCCAGAAATATTGTTTCTAGACAATATTGTTTTGGGATATTAAAATAGGTAGTGGAGATGCATTATGTTTAATTTTGCCAGTGAAAGGGAGAAGTAAAAAGTCAATTAATTCTTTCTGGCATCAAGGATACCACAAGTACAGTAATTTATTTAACATGATTCTAGTAACCTAAGAGAAAATTCTTTAAAAAACAGAAGAATCATACTTTTCACTTCTCAATGTCATTATTTCATTATTTATTTCTTGAGTATTTCTAAAACATCAGCCACCACAATTTTTGGTCAAATTCAACTATATTTTATTTGTGTTTCATCTAATGATATGAGTACATAATTTATAAAACATGAAAATTAGAACCAAGTGATTACGGATTTAAAACAAATTGTCTGGATATCAAGAAAATATTTCAGTCAAAATGTAATCTCCATACTACAGTCTAGTACTGAGTAGGTGGGGGTAAAGCTGAAGATCCAATAGGCAGTATGACCATAACATTTATTTATAAGACATATTGGTGGATTCTATGGTATTTGAAGTCTTTTTCAAATATATGAAAGATATTTGCACATGCCCCATGATGAGCTTTTCATTAGTTTTATGTTTAGATTTTATTAAAAAATCTATACATATGATGCAATTGCTATGAAATTGGTACTACTTTACATTGCCAACAAAATTGTATGGGCATGGGTGTGTGAGTGTTTGTAAATTCAGCCTCATGGCTTATATCTTAAATGTAGACCATAGGTAGGCTTGGCTATTATTAAACCTTCTATTAGATTTAAAAGAGTGGTGATACCAAACAGCTCTCAAACTTTTAAATTTATACTTATGAAACATTGGAGATGCACATATTTAAATACTCAACTATACGCCATACTTATATTGCTAACAATTCTACCAAAAAACTAACCAGGCATCAAATGTTTCCAAAATTTCTCCTGTTTGATAAATATAATATCACTGAATTTTAAATAATGACCACTTGATGTATGACTTTCCAAAATGAAGGAGCATAAAGTATTGCTTTTTTGAGCTAAGCAAATTGGAAATTGGCACTCAGTAAATGTCGCACAAATATGCAACAGAGCCCTTTGATCTCGTATCCCATTCCTTTACACGATGGCTTCAATGCTCAGTCCCACTCACCATTGTAGTTTCTGCTATTGACCCAAAGCTGTTGATAAATATGTTGCAGGTAACATTTACAGGAGGCCCTGCAAGTTGAACAATAGAAAATTTGACAGGTTTTGTTCATGGCATAATTGAGTCACGTTTTTCTCTTGCCAGTGGCATTATAGCACTTACCATGGTAGTTTCTGTGACTGATCCAAAACTGTTGATAAAAATATTGCAAGTAACGTTTACTGGAGGACCTGTGGAATGCAATAAGAATATTGCAAGAGACATTGAAGCAAAAATACAGCTCCATCAACATCTGTGCAAATGGCTAGAAATGTAAATAAAACTAAAATGATGATGAGATTGAAAAAAAAGTTACCTAGAAGCACATGATGATAACATTCCTACTAGTATTTTGGCTAATGATGGTTAAGCAATGGTAACTTACCCTGAAGAGTTTTGAATTTGGAAAATATAAGCTAAGACTATTTAACTGAATTCATTGGTACAATTTGATATTGCAGTAGTCCTTTGGTTTGGTAAGTGGTTTTCTTTGACCTTAGGATCATCAACACCATGGGCATCAAGAGTGGGTGCCCCATGAGGATGAAATACCTGGGTCATGAAGTCAAAATGGAGCTGCATTTTGGATTATGGATGAGTCAGGATCATCCACTTCGTTTTGCATGATACCCTTTAAATCAATGTGTTACTTTGAGTCTTTTGAAACCTCTGAATTTGACCTTTTCCTTCTTTATATATTTTCACCCTGATGAAAAAATGATGTACAGAAATACAAAAGCCAAAGAAATTTAACTTATTTTAGGAAAATTCAAATAGCAATATAATTTAGTGTCCATTCTGTTGTCTGAGTAAATGTGGTGTAAAGCAAGGATTATCACATCTTATATAAGCTTTGAACAAAATAAGTCCACTTATATCTTCAGAGACCCTGGGACTAGGCTGACCCCAGCTTTCTTTTCCCCTAGCCTTTCATCAACAGGCAAATCACTGATGATTCCCTACTTCATACTTTGCTGGGGAATTGTTTATTTCCTTCATGGAATTTCCTCTTAATGCTTTCTGAGATAAGAAAATATTGCCATGAACATCTATTCACTCATTGCTTTCCCCTGTGGAAATTTGTCTCTCTTCCCGCAGTGAAATCTCAGCAGCCCAGTGCAAGCAACACCCTAGTTGGTTCTGACTCAATCAAGTGGTAGGATCTGAATGAAGAAGAGTTTGGCTTCAGGCCTTCCTCAAAGACTGGTGGTAACAACACAAGTTGTGGCTGCATTTTAAAACTCTAGAAGTCCAATTTGGGTTGTTGAAATGAGGAGAAAAAATTGGGGTAAAAGAGTCTTCAGGCAAGATCTTTTTGTTAAAAAACAATAGGAGCAAGGAGTATTTGTAAAAAAGATATAAGTTTTTTTCCTTTTAACACCTAACTTGTCTCTTTTTAATAAAAATGTGTATTTTTAAAAAAGTGTTTGCAGGCATACAACCACAGGCACCACATTATCAAAGTAATTTTCAGTTGACAGTTTTGAAATACTCCAAGTCTTTTAGTTTAGCATCTGCCAAGATGAGTTCTCCATGGTCACTTCCTACTTTGCTTGATTTTATTTTTATCTTTTGATTACTCAAAACAAAACAAAACAAAAATGAGTCTTTTTCTTTCTTGGTCATATATTCTATTCTATAACAAATTTATTTTTCTGCCAGTAAGAAATAAATTAGGCAAGGTAGGGGCAAGTCATGAGAAATTGTGTATTCACTTTTCTCTCTCCCTCCACAAAGAGATCTTTCGTTTTAGATCATCTAATTCAGGCTGGAAAATTTTTACAAATTTATATGTGCAAGATAGAATATGAATGATGGGGAAAAATCAGGAAAGAAAAGAATTGTCATTCTAGCATCCTTTTGCAATTCACTTTGGAATATCACGTTTTTATTGGTGCATATCAATTATACAGAATAGTGGGTTTCATTGTGGCATATTGGTACATGCATATAACATAATTTGATCAATTTTACCCCCAGTACCTCCCCTTAATCTCCTCTCCTCCCATTCTCTGTTCCCCTTCTTTTACTTTATTGGTCTGCCTTTCTACTTTCATGGCATCCCTCCTCCCCCTCTCTTCCCCACTAGCTTCGATATATGAGAAAAAAACATTCTACTTATCTTTTAGAATCTGGCTCACTTTGCTTAACTTGACACATCACATTTTAACAGGAGGAACTTGAAAATTTAAACCTTGGATATCTTGTTTTGTACAGTATCTGTTTGTCTGGTCTACTGAAATATTAGAAGAATTTACAAGACTGAGTCATGCTATCATTTACTTGTTATTATCCTTGCTGGTATATGGCAGTGTAAGTATATTGCTGGAACTCGAAATATTTTAAGCTATCATATATTGGCACACTGTACTAAGTAGATTAAAAATTATCTACTTTAATTATCACAAAGGAGGAATTTTTACTGCTCTAGTAAATGTTTACAGATGATGAAACTCTTCAGAGAGGTTAAGTTACTTGATTACAGTTACTCTGCAGTAATTAGGAAAGCTGAGACTCAACATCTTGTCATTTTGGTTTCAAAAACCTAAACTTTTGCTCACTTCGCTACATTGCCTTCATGATGCAATGTCCTTCCTGAGTATTTACTATTCCTCCTGTTATTTTATATAATTCTTGATTCTTTACATCTGTCCTCTTCAACCTTGAGCATTTTATTTTTAAGGTTCATTTGCACTTATGTATAAAACCTTGGAAAGAAAAAGAGTAAGCTCTTTTTTTCAGCAAGCTATTTTTAAATTAAGGGATAAGCACATACATTTATTAAGAACTGACACACATTAAAACCTCGCTGTGTGCCAGTGAGTACTATACTTCATTCCTCAATAATTAGTTGATACCATGCTTTGCATTTTAGAAAAAAAAATACTAAGTCATAAAGTTGATTAACTAATTTTCCCTAGGTCACAGAATTGGTAAAATTTCTGAGGACAATAAAATTATCCTAATGATAGAATCTGCCTAAATATGGTATTTGTTCTGCAAGTTCTTTGAGTTGAATGATAGGATTACATGTTTTCTTTCTCTTTCAAGAGTTACATTGATATGTGACAATATAACATCTGCATTTTAGCCTAATAATCTGCTCAAGTATTCTGATTGACAAGATGTTCTTAGATGTGATCACCAATGAATGAATGTGTTCTGTAAATGTATGAAAAAGCAGTTTATACTAGTTAACCTCATTTAATTGATCTATTAGCAAAATGATATTTCAAAATAAGTAGAATGATAATAGCAAAATGATATTTCAAAATAAGTAGAATGATAAACTGGGAAAAAGAATGATGTAGACATCTAATCTCTCATATCACCATCTTCCCCTTCCTTCTTTACTAAGTCCTTGTCTCCTCTCTCCCTTCTCCCCTTCCTTCTTCCCTTTTTTTCTTGCTCTTGTTCTTTTTTGCTTTTGTGAAATAGAGCAATCTGGCCATAACTTACTTGAAAGGTCCTATGTTGAATCTATTTATCACTTTGGCTAGTATTGACACCTTAACAATATTGTCTTCCTACCCATAAACATATTTATATTTCTTTAGGTCTTCATTAATTTTTCAGCAATGTTTTGTAGTCAGTGTAAAGATATTTCACCTCCTTGATCCAGTTTATTTCAGATACTATTGTAAATGGAATTTTTAATATTTCCTTTTCAGATTGTTGGTTGCAATTTACAGAAATACAACTTATTTTTGTGTGGCAACCTTATATGCTGTAACTTTGATGAATTTATTTATCAGCTCTAGTAGCTTTGTATTCTTTGGGTTTCTTTTTTCTTTTATGTTATTTTTCGTTTTTCTTTTCATTACTGGGGATTGAACCCAGAGACACTATACCACTGAGCTCCATTCTAAGCTTGTTTTTATTTTTATTATTTTCATTTTGAGGCAGGGTCTGGCTAAGTTGGTAAGGCAGGCCTTGAAGTTGCAATCCTCCTGCCTGTCCTCTGTTTCCCAAGTAGTTCTCTAGGGCTTTCTATATACCTGACCATGTCATATAGGAATACAGATATTTTTACTTCCTCATGAATTTGGATGCCTTATATTATTTTTTATTAATTAGTTATTCTGGATAAAACTTCCAATACAACATTGAACAGCAGTAGTGAAAGGAGGCATCATTGTCTTATTCCTGTTCTTAGGAATAAGAATAGGAATAAGACATGTTATGTTGTTACCTTTGTGTTTTCATAAATGGACTCTGTCATATTGAAGTTCCTTTCTGTTCCTGTTTTTCTGAGTGTTTTGAGGATTTTGTCATGAAAGGATGTTGGATTTTGCAATTTCTTATTCTGAATCAACTGAGATGATCATGTGGGTTTTTTTCTCCTTCATTCTATTAAGATGATATATTACTGTGTTTTGATTAATTTTCCTATTTTGAATCACCTTGGCATTCTTGAGATTTCTCAATTGATCATGGTGTGCTATAAGATATGACTTGCTAATATTTTATGAGGATTTTTGTATCTGTCTTCATAAGGTACATTATTTAGTGATTTTTCTTTTGGGGGTCTTTATCTGGCTTTGGTATATGGCCTTATAAAATGATTTAGGAAGTCTTTCTTCATTTGTTTACTTAGTGGAATAATTTGAGAAGTGTTTGGTAGAACTCACCAGATAAGCCACCTGGTCCTGAACTTTTTTTTTATTAGAAGATTTTTAATAACTGCTTTAATCTCTTAGTTATTATATTTTTGTTGAGATTTTCCATTATTTCTTTAATCAGAGTTAATGTGTTCCTAGGTATTTTCTGTTCCACTCAGATTATCTAATTTTTACATAATCTTACAATTCATTTTATTTCTGTAATATCAGTTACAATTCCATTTTTATTTTAAGTATCTTTGATCATTTAGATAAATATGTCAGTTTTATTATCTTTGAAAAAAAATTTGGTTTTGTTATTCTCCAATTCCTCTTCTAGTCTATTCTTCTCCACTTTAATCTTAATTATTTACTTCTGCTGCAAGCTTTGGCTTTACTTTGCTATTCTTTTTCTAGTTCCTTGAGGTCTAAAAGTAGATTATTAATGTGAGACTTTTTTCTTTTTTAATATAAGCATTTACATTATAAACTTCCCACTGAACACTACCTTCACTGCATCCTATTTGTTTTGTTATATTATATTGTTTTTACTTATTTCTAATTTCCCTTGTGTTTTCTTTTTGGATTCA